TGTGAATGTCAACAGTTGGTGTGCCTTTAGAAATGTGGCAGAGCTGCAACCAAATCGAGTCGTCCTCCAAAAGCAGAAGCGGTTCCAGCTAGCATGCATGCTTCATTCGTTCACCTGTGGGCAGAGGAGGTCAAAGGTCACTGTGTCCGTTCACCTTTCCTTTAGCGGTCTGAAGGGAATTCGATTGGCAAAGCCAGCACATTTCCAGCTAAAAGCCATGCATGCTGCGTGCCGGCGTTCCAGCATTGACATTCCCAGGCCCTTGAGACATTTTGCATACAAACCTCCTGCACAACATTCACTATAGGATGCTTGTCTATGTAGTAAAGGTCTTCAGACGTGTGCGAGCACGTCGTACAGTCTTGGGCCGACTCGATGGACCAACTAGCTTTTCAGTTCCCAAAGTATTTCAATAGTAGCGTACTTGTTGAAGAAATCTAGATGTGAAACTATTTAAGCAACGGTTTGAAGTGTAGAGAAACCAATAAGATTTGAATCTGCTCTTGAATGATATCAGAACTTTATCTTTGTATTTCATGAGGGGTTATGAATGGGGACGAATCTGCAGAGATGTTCATTTATTCTCGGTTACTTTAGCTTTCGTTTTATGGCTTTAAAACATGATGTATTTCACCTGCCCCCTTTCAGTCTGCCTGTTCGGCCTCTATTGTGTTTTTGTCTGTTAGCTAGAAAGTTGTTGACTTATTAGCTAATTTAACAATCAGGGTTGTTCCGTTACTCGTTTATTTATTGCTATTGCTATCAGAGGTTATTCTCCATTCTTTATGCTTACAGATCAACACAAGTGTACATTCCTCCTAATTTCGGTCAGACTGAAGAGCAATGCCCAGCGTCTGTCTTCACATCATTACGACGTCTTCAGAGTCTCTCAGTCAAACAGCTATTAGACCGTCAGAACGTGTGAGCCTTACACATTTTGCATTATATTAAAATTTGAAGAAAAAAAAGCAAGAGGTTTTTCCACAGTTTTGACCAACAGTTTGTTGTTTGTGTTTTGGTTACTGAATCCGTTCTCTTGCATTTTTTCCTGATAATAAAGTCTTTTATGCGCATGTACATCTCTGCGTATACACAAAAATAGTGATGAGTGTGTGCAAAACATGTAAAAATAAAGAAAAAGTCTTTGTAATTCTATTGTAATTCTATTGGTCTATATGTGAATCAAATCAGAGAAATATGACACAATTGAATATATTGATCTGACCGTTCAAACGGTTTGCTATTTCCATATACAGTATGATCGATCATCATCTCTCGATGAGGTGTTTATCAATCACTGACCCGACTGTCCTGCTAGCGTCCAGCCCTACCCTGAATGCTGCTGGAAGAATATAAGAACATAAAAACATTAAATGAGATCATAAGCTAAATACAAAATAATCGTTCATAGAGTGCTTTCGTCTCGGACCGCAGGCGGGAAACACACAGGATGGATGCTCCGAGGCTTTTCAACCTTTAATAAAAGCAGCCTGATTTTATCCACACTGCTGAGGCTGCGTCCCCGTCCATCATGCCCATATGCTGAGTAGTCTGATCCCATCATTCATAAGCAAATGTGCTCCAAAGTTTGAAACTAAATAATAATCTTAATAATCCAATAACTGCTTTAGTAAGAGTGACTGCACCTCTCAATGACCTCCTCAAACTATTTTTATAAGTATGGTGATTTTTAATTCCAGTCCATAATCCATAATAACTCTTCCTCCAGTGAAAAAGTGCATCTGCTGTTGTCTCTCACATCAAAATCCAGCCACATATTAGTTTAGAGCTGTTTAAACGCTGCTTGATCTGTGCAGATTTCTCTCCTGATTCAGACCAGAACACTTTTTCACTGGAGGAAGCATTATTATGGATTATAGACTCTATGGTATTTTAGTTAAAAACGTCTTAATGCTGGATTTGTTTCAGCTTTTGTCTTCTCCAGATGTTAACTGATGGACTGGAGTGCTGTGGATTATTGTGATGTTTTTGGCTCTTATTCTGACGGCACCTGATGTGTTTCGGCAGTTCAGAAATCCCGGCCAGGACAGGTCTGGGAAAGATAGAATGGTCACCCTACATTTATTAATGTGATTGAGTTAAAAAATGGTAAAATCTCTAGTGGTCCACACATTTCTACTCGCTCAGCCCTACTTGAGATTAATGAACATAACTCAAATCACTTTACATAAAGCATTATCATCATGAGCAGGAACAAAACTAGACAACAGAACGAGTTGACTAATCAGCTGAATGAAAGCATCATAGGACAATCAACCACATCCAAAAAACAACAACAAAGAAATGAAATCAAACACTTGTCTGGTCACCAGATGGCAGGGATCTGGACTGCTCTTCTGTGCAGCTGAACAAGCACTCAGATTTGTTTAGGTGACTCTGTGGTGAGGCTTCTTTAGAAGAGATATATATATGTATCTCCCCTGTACCTCTACTGTATCTCCCCAGAATAATCTCTGCTACTGCTCTCCATGCTCGAATCATACATTTAATACGTGACAGTCGCATAAGTTCTGTACTGGAAACCAAAGTTTGTTCATATTCAGAACCTTCTTTAAATACGAGCGGTTAGTGTCCTACAGCTACAGTTTCAGTTTATAACTTTGTGATTATGTCTGTCATGATGATTTTTTTTATTTGACAACGTTGATCAATGTGAACGTCTGTGTGATGGGAAAATCCCATTCATTCCCAGTCCTAAACTCTTTACAGGGGATTCTTCTCTTCAGAACAACATCATAAAGCAGAAGCTATGAGTAAACCCCATACTATTGACTTGACTATTCAATTTATTTTTAAATCAATTAAAATAAAAGACTTTTTAAAGAAACTAGTTAGCCACTTGACTGGGTCTCCTGGTCCGAGGCTTTTATTGATCTGTCTGATGAGAATGTGGACGAGATGATCAAGGTCTGTGTTCTGTGTTCAGCTCAGCCATCCAAGCCCTGTTTACTTGAACTAGGAAATTAAACTGAATAAGGAAATTCTGAAATCCCAAAAACTGCTTGCCACTCTCTTATTTAAATAATATATTTTAAATAAATTATAAATTTCTAGTCGTGTCCTCTTTTGGAAGACCAAACAAAGTAGTTTAGCTTTCACAACGAAGCACACAGCGTCTTCACGACATGGCGGCGGCGTCAACAATACTACAGCGAGAATAAAAGTTACGCCTTCTTTCTTTGCGTGAACATTTGGGCGGCGTTATGCAAATCTTCCCACATAGTGACGTAGATATGTGGGGGCGTGTTAGAACGAGCCGTTTTAGGTAGGCGTGGCTGACTCTTAACTTTTATAAAAAAACTTGAAATCGCATCATATGACCCCTTTAATGAGAAAACACACCTACTGGGTTCCACTGGCTGGTCATCCTCTGTTGTGGGCGTGTCCTTGAGACAATGCGCCGGAAATATCAGCATACACTCCTCAAATCACAACTTGTTTAATGAATTGAAACGGTAATACATGTTAATTTTAAGCATAAACTAACTGTTCACATTTTCAAAACGATTCATAGTTTGTATAATATGATCAATCATCTGAGATGTTTTGCCCTATTGATTACAGGCAGTCTGATAAATAATCAATAAACAATTCCTTTCTTCTCTTATTATACAGGATATAATTTACTTTACAATTAACTATGTAAGGTACATACTGAATAAAAATATTCTTAATCTTGTAGTCATTATAATAAACATTGTGTTGTTAAAATGAATTGTTAAAAAGCCAAGAATTAAACCAATCATAAAAGTGTAAAATATTAAAGTAATATAAAAGTGATGAATCATGGTGATGGTGATGCACCAGAGCAATGTCTGTGAAGATCTGGTGAGAAATGTAATAATAAATACATCTCTACCACAGTAAAGCCAATTAATGTTGTAGACTGTTAGAGAACCGTCTCACATTTAACTCCAACTAACTGGGAGACATTTTCCAAATACTCATCATGAGCTGTTTGAAGCATCAGTTTGGAGAGGAACAACACTGACTCTTCCTCCATTGCTGTCTGCAAGTTCACCTGCACGGCTTAAACATTTAAAGAAAACGAAGGGGAAGACGGTCCTGTATTAAATTACTTCATCTACAGTATTTGTGCAATTCTTGCTGATGTCCTGACCAGTGATTTGTGGTTATGGTAAAATGTGCTCCATTAAAAGCTAAATATTTAGCCATTTGTTAGCCCAGGAGTGTGTATATAGAGGTCAGAGCTACTGGCTTCTGCTGTCTTTGCCAGGTTTCACTAGAGCAGCTCATCTTTAGGAAGGACGCCCTTATTTACAAATCCAATCATTTCTTTGATATTTAATATATAATTTATCATATCCTTTCCTGATGAAATATTCTTTGAGTTATTGATGGGTGCTCTTAATTCAGAAGTTTTAAACTCATTATCCAAACCACATTTATTTAAGTTTCTCTTCCAGTAGATTATGCTCTTTTCCTCTGGTCATTTTTGCTCATTGTTCTTTTTAGAGAACTTGAAATGCCTTCTCTGATTGCTCTGAATAATATTATCTAATATATTATAATATAATATAATGTATAATCATATATAATATATATATTTTAAATATAATACAATATATAAAATGATCTTTGAATAATAGAATAGTCTTTCGTAAGCAAACGTCATGTCTTGAGTTCTTGCAGAGTGTTACTTATGTCTGCTAGTGAAGTTACACAGCATAAAGACCAGCAACTGCTTCATTCATAAACACCATGTTTAGCTCGTGTTCAGTCCGCATCACTGAACCCTGAACCGTTCCGTTCCGTTCCGACGCAGCAACAGGAGCCCAGCTGCTCGAACGGAGCCCGGTAAAGTATAGCACGGCGAATCGTTAATCATCAGTTTTACAGTAAATCTATTTTAGTACATCTTTACTAGGATTCTCACGAAGTAACCGAGTATATTGTATTTTAAAAATCTTATTAACTGAAGCTCGTCCTGAACTCTCTCCCCCAGTCGAGGAGGAAGTGGTTCAGTCCATGATAGCGGAAGTTCTGACCTCGGACCGGAGGAGGAGCAAGTGAAGTTCCAGACACTCGCTCGAGTTTGTGTTGATTTATGTAAGACGACAGCAGACGCGCCGCAGAGAGACTCCGAGATGCGGAGAAAGCAGAAGAGACTGCTGCAGATCGCGCTGCTGCTGCTGCTGGCCTTGCTGTTGCTGCCGAACGTGGGCTTGTGGTCGGTGTATCTGGAGCGAATGCTGGACAGCTCTGCGGACGCCGCCGGACTCTCGCACGCACAGGTACCTCAGCGCTCATAAAGCGCTTACACAGCTCGCATACACTCTGTTTCTACAGCATCGCAGCAGAAACGCTTTACTCGCTGTTGTATGGCAGTGTTGCGTGGCTAGAAGTGCGTTTGAGTTCTTGACGCTCCTTCTGAACGGCAGATGAGGAACGCGACGCGACCAGAACGCTCTGCGGGAACGCGTTGTAGTTTTGTCGCGTCGCTCGCGCTGTACACAGGCTAAATTATTGGCTGATCAGTCATTATATGGTTCTTTTGAGCAAAGTTCACAGACCGATAACAAATTGACTTTAAACATTATTAGAGTTATATGGTGTAATTCTGCCGTGGAAATTAAAACACAGACATAGTATACAGAATTCTTCATATTCAGATAAAACGAGCATTAAACTTGTTCACTTATCTTCTTTATGATTCTTCGGTCACATAGAATTATCAGTATAGACCTGGACATTAAATATGAAAATTAAAGAAAAGCATAATTTAGCTCTCTTAATTGTTGTTTAATGTTTTTAAGGGCGGATGTGTGTTGTTTAATAAAGTATTTTAATAGCTTCTTTTGATTTTAGCATAACGACAAATAAAAGCCATTTATTTGATTTTGGAAAAAAATAATAAAACCACACTATTAAAGCCACACAATGATTTGTGTGTGTTGGGCGGGTGTGTGTTGGGCGGGTGTGTGGCGGATGTATGTTTGGTGGATGTTCTTCATCTGGGTGGACGCTGCATGCTGCTGATACTTGAGGAGTTTCTCCTTCTCACCGTGTATATAATGCGCTCTGAGTGAAAAACGCTCACTGGCGACTGGAACATGATTTAAAATTATTTAACTACCTTATTTAACTATTTGAAAATATTAAAATGGTTATGTTTTTGTTATATGCTTGTAAAGCGACCCTGAGTTTGTAGAAAGGCACTATTTAAAATAAATCCATTCTTCTTATTAAAGTTCAAATTGCTTAAAGGGGTCATCGGATGCCCATTTTCCACAAGTTTATATGATTCTTTAGGGTCTTAATGAAAAGTCTATAACATACTTTGGTTAAAATTTCTCAATGGTAGTTTAAAAAACCTTTTTACCTTGTCAAAATCAGCTCTGTTTTCAGCACGCCGTTCAAGTCTATGTTGCTTTAAATGCTAATGAGCTCTGCTGACCCCGCCCCTCTCTTCCGTGGGTGACGAGCCGTTCTCATGATACTGTTTACTTAACCACGGAACTTGCTAACTAGCACGTTATTAGGAAAGGTGATTTGCAAAGATTCATAAAAAAAACCTTATACTCACTTCTTCTGTAGACGAAGCTGGGTCATGAATGATTCGCGCAAACTTAAACGCATTTAGGCAGATTGGGGATCGACGCATTCCTTTAAAAAAACGAAAGTATCGTTAATCCTCTGTGTCTTCAGCGGCTCAGATGTCGGGAGTAAATGACGACTGCTATGTTCATTATTACATCCAGCAACAGAACACCTCAATTGCTTAATCGGAGACATTCTTGTCTTCCCCTGCACTGGAGTCGACACAATGGCGGACTGATGACAGCTCACTCAGGGCGGAGCTAAGGTAAGACGGACTTGTCAATCAACTATCATGGGAGGGGCCTGTGCAGAACTACGTCATTCTGACAGGAATCTCAGAACAGCCTGATTTGACTGTATTGACGGTATTTAAAGAAACTCTGGGTGGATTTTTATCATTATAGGGTGGATGTGTACACACACTTCCAACACACATTTATGTTCAAACAACAACAAAAGTGAATTTTGCATCCGATGACCCCTTTAAAAAATGTCAGTTATAAATGAGGAACAAAGAAACCCAACAAGTAAAAGCAAAAAAAAATGCTTGAAGTTTTTGTCTGAGCAGGTTGTTTTATTACTGTGCCAGGACTATCAGTCTGCAATTATACATATGATGGACTGTTGACAGGAATTTCTCTCAAAGACAAACGTTTTGACCAAGACGTGCAATTGACCACATCGCATGCATCGCACACAAGCGGCGCTTCAGAAAGCATCTTTACCATTGCAGCCTTTTTGACATCAGCAGTCCGATCTGTAGTTTATATAGCCAAAACACGTACAGTGCTGTGAGAGGCTTTCCCTGATTAGAGTCGTATGGTTTTGGAATAACGTGAGGATTATGAATATAATATATATTCTTCTGGGGCCGCTGTCACGAGCAGTTATGATGGTAAGAGATCGTCTTCATAGGGAAAGGCTGTACGTGGTGTTGTTGAAAGGCGGCGTTGTTCAGGCTCTTGGCTGGCTCTCGTCCAGGCCGCTGGTCTGATAGCGCCTCTGTTTTCCCAGTGGAAGAGCCTGAGCTTCAGCAGGTGCAGGAATCACTGTGCATCAGTCGCTCACACACATTCACTGTCAGCGTGGTGGTAAGAACAGTTTCATGTCATCTCGTGCACAGAAGCATCATTCCATTCTGAATCCTGACATTCTCATCTAATTCATTCATCTGATTTACCACGCAGTTTGGCTTCATTGCCAAGTTTTTTTTGTTTGTTTTTTTTACAGTGAGACGTGCTTGTTGTTAAAAAAGGTGTGGCTGTTTGCATTAAACATCAGACACGTAGCAGAAAACTATGCTACGTCCCAATTCACCTTCTTACTCTATGCCCTAAAGTATGCATTCTTCTTGTGAAGAAAACGGTGATGCTTTGGAGTGTGTAGCAGAAGAGCAGAGAAGCTTTGGGACAAACTACCACCTCATAAAACTGTTCTGTCGCAGTAAAGCGGCCTGTCAGTGATCCTGTCAGAAATGAGAGGATTCATGATCCTAACAGCTCCATTGATGATTCTTTTAGTCTTTTGTTGCCACATGATGAGATAATCACATGATAACAAATCAGACAACATTTTCATTCTTGCAAAGGGTTTCATACAGACTTTTTATACAGGTAACATTGTTCTAATAATTGGCCCTAACTCTATATTACATAAAAAAGTAACGCATTTCATTCGTTCATTCCTTAGTTTTGGTATTTTGTAAAACATGGTTTGTTTGGTTCCCATGTTTAGACACAAGGGTTGGTCTTTCTCGCCGTCCTCTTTTCTGTTTCCTCAGGTATTTTTGTACTGCTTCACAACTGATGCATTACGATTTAGCAAAGACTAGCACACAGTCCTCCTCATAACATCACATCACACATGCTTTGTGTGTTTTCAGAGAATGAACAAAGTGCAGAACGATGGCATTCGGAAAAAGGACTGGCATGACCATGCATTTATTAAGAGCGAAGCGGCACGTTCAGGTACGTCACGCGATGCATGAAGCGTGATAGAGTTGGATTGCAGATGAGTGTGATGGTGAATCTGTGGTGTGTTGAAGGTGTCGGCGAGCAGGGCAGGCCGTATCCGCTGACCGACTCGGACCGTGTGGACCAGGCCTACAGGGAGAACGGATTCAACATATTCGTCAGCAATCGCATCGCCCTCAACAGATCCCTGCCTGACATCAGACACCCGAAGTGAGTGCTTTCTTCTTCCTCCTCAATATAAACCTCTGCAGCACACGTCTGGCATGATTCCTGCATTCATTACCGTACATGAACAGCTCTGCTTGAGTTACACGGAACTTCAGTGTGGGTTTGATGTGTAGAGCACAACAGCAGTACGTTATGACTGCAATAACAGGCCAGCAATTTCTTTGCTTTACATATATTACATATTGAATTCCTGAAAAATATAGATATAAGTCTTGAGAAGTATGTCTGTCGTCACTCTATATTTCAGTCATGCTCTAGTCTAGAATATTTTCTCTCTAAAACTGGTCTTGTAGAATAAAACTTTGATTCTCATTGCACATAATAAAAAAGATTCTGTTCAGGATGTATTCATCTAGGTATACAGAAATGTAAAAAATTCCCCGATATTTACAAATGGCTAAATTATCCAAAATATTTCATTTTCTGGATGCTGCTGTGCTGCACTTCACTACGCACTGATCTGTTTAGGAAGAACACTTTTAGTCTAACAGCACTCATCAGTGTCAGAATGATTGAAGCTGATGTTTTTGATTGACTGTCGGCACATGTGATCACAGTGTGATATAGATTTAATGCAGCGGTTAATATCCATAACTTCAGTGTGAGACCAAATGAAAATAGTTCCAAAGGGAAGCAAAGCATCAAGCTTTAACTGTATCTGTCACAACAGACTCACAGCCATCACGAGTGCATGTGATCATCGTCACACTGACCGCCGGTTCGTTTGTGTGTCGCAGCTGTAAGACGAAGCTGTACACGGAAGATCTTCCCAACACCAGCATCATCATCCCCTTCCATAACGAGGGCTGGTCGTCTCTGCTGCGCACGGTTCACAGCGTCCTCAACCGCTCGCCGCCGCAGCTCATCGCCGAGATCATCCTCGTGGACGACTTCAGCGACAAAGGTACGAGCCGCCGGAGAAACTGCGTCCTTCTTTTTCATCAGGTTCTGTTGGGCTCATGTTTGAAGGGCACGTGTGGACGAGGATCATCTGCCATCAGAAACATTAGAAACACTGGGCTGGATGTCATGATGAAGTCACCGTCAGTTTGTTTCAGCAAGTCGTCTGTGTAAGTCATGCATGTTTGATTGGCATGACAGATTGTGAGCTGCTGTTTCTGGTCGGATGATCCTCCTTCGTCCCCGTGTCTGAACTGCGTCACACGTTTGCATAAGTGTCAGATTATGCCAGCTGTAATCCTCTCTCTGTGTAATGTGTAATGTTATATTAAGGCTGGCTGTGACAGCTACACATCACGATATATCAAAGCACATCACCATGAATCACAATTTATCACAAAGCACTGACATCCAGGCCACTATTCAGGATTCTTTTGGTCAACACTGTCAAATGATGAGTGCCTTAAAATGAGCAAAATATTGTGCTGTATCTGACTGAAATAAGTCATATTTGAATCATGATAGAGATTAACTCAATCACAGCTTTTGTTTTATGATCAAATCACATCTGAAGTATTTTCATTGATGGATTCAGCAGTGAGAGAGGAAGAGAATAAAAGCCATCCAAAACATTTAAGGCAGGGTCTGAACTGCATCTGTAAGGAGTAAGCTGCTGGAGTGTGTGATGGGTGGTGTCTCCATGTGTCTATGTCTCTGTGTCTTCTAGAGCATCTGAAGGCTCCTCTGGAGGAGTACATGGTGCGGCTGCCGAAGGTTCGAATGCTGCGCACTAAGAAGCGTGAGGGTCTGATCCGGACCAGACTGCTGGGCGCCGCGGCTGCGAGGGGTCAGGTCATCACGTTCCTGGACTCACACTGCGAGGCCAACGTCAACTGGCTGCCGCCGTTACTGGGTGAGAGAGAATTTTATATCATCAACACTCTTATTATTATCCGTTTATTATTATGAAGATGCTCTGAAACGATCTGTAGTGCATAAAGTGCTGTAGAAGTAAAGGAGATGTGATTTGATTGTTCAGCTCCTAAAGCTGTTATTTAATGGCAGTAAATTATTGGTTTTTAGATCGCATCGCACATAACCGGAAGACGATAGTGTGTCCGATGATCGATGTGATCGACCACGATAACTTCGGCTACGAGACGCAGGCCGGCGATGCGATGCGAGGGGCTTTCGACTGGGAGATGTACTACAAACGCATCCCTATCCCAGCTCAGCTGCAGAAACCAGACCCCAGCGAGCCGTTTGAGTGAGTGTGTGTGTGTGTGAGAGAGTCTGTGTGTGAGTTTGTGTGAGAGTGTGAGAGTGTGTGAGTGTGTGTGTGTGTGTGTGTGTGTGTGTGTCTGTGTGTGT